CGACGTACAGGCATGGTGACGAGTATCTATACGTTGGTATCTAGCATGACTGTGAGTCTTTAAATTGTGAATATCTTGATTTCGTTGTATTCCTCTTACCTTGGTGATGATTCCTATTTGTTGTGGAAAGCTTGTGAAAGGAAATTGTGACCTATGAACATCGAGGAGCATTGGCTCAAGTTATATCACACATGTGAAAGTATATGAAATGATTAAACCCCTTTGGAGCATTGGCTCAAGTGGTAAAGTGAGATATGAAATAAAAGTGAAAGAAAGAGAAAGAGTATTTAAATTGTTCCCTTGCCGGGACGTTGAGATTATTGATGTTGTACCCTTGCCGGGATTTAATTGTTTAATTGTGTTCCCTTGCCGGGATTTCTATCATTATTTTGTTTATTCACTTGCCCCTTGTTTGTGATTGTTGTTTGGGTGAGGAAGAGTGTAAAGCACGAAGGGTGATGTCGTGCATTGTTTGCTATTGTGAGAAAAGAGTGTAAAGCACGAAGGGTGATGTCGTGCATTGTTTGCTATTGTGAGGAAAGAGTGTAAAGCACGAAGGGTGATGCCGTGCATTATTTGCTATTGTGAGGAAAGAGTGTAAAGCACGAAGGGTGATGCCGTACCGCACGATGTACCATTCCGTGCCAATTCTATTGATTATATGTGAGGAAAGAGAGTAAAAGCACGAAGGGTGATGCCGTGCACATTTTATTATTCTAATTGCTTGGTGAGGACGAGAGTAAAAGTACGAAGGGTGATGTCGTGCACTTGTCTTTGATTTTTCCTGATTTGTGCTGATAATTGAGTTATGTTGTCCTCTACTTCTATTTATTGCTTTTCTTGTTGTTATCAGTTCAAGTGCATTAGTTGTCTTATTCCACTATTATCGAGTTTCCTTATGTTGGCATTTTCCTTTATTGTGTTACTTGTTATTATCGGCTCGAGGTATCCTTGCGCAACATTATGCCTTGAAATTAGGCTATAATTGCTACATGTTTATGTGATTTAATTGCTACTTGACATTTAGCATACTAAATATTAAATTGCTTATTTGCTCCTTAAAGCCCATAATTAATTGCTACTTGTCATTACTTATTTTCTTCAGTGAGTCATAATTATTGTGTACTTGATGTCTTATGAATTCGTACAAATTGTTGCGTTTGCTGTAGTAAATTTCATTTGGAAGAACTGTTGATTTAATGAAATGGGAGCGGGTGGTACGCCTACCACGGAAACATTGAGAAATGGGATCGGGTTGCACGCCTGCAACGAGATATGTTTTAACAGTGAAATCTGCTTTTATTTCCCTTATCCGTGTTAGAGTTAAATTATTGATGTTCTTTATTATTTTCTTGAAATTCTGTATTATCTGCTATCCCCGAAGCATGTTCCCTTCCCATTTAAAAATGTTTGTTCTTGTTATTTTCCCGTTGTAGATACACATATATAACTGTACAGGTTGATGTGGTAGTCCTGTCTAGCCTCGTCACTACTTCGCCGGGGTTAGGCTAGACACTTACCAGCACATGGGGTCGGTTGTGCTGATACTACACTCTGTGCTCTTTTGCACAGATCTAGGCACAGCAACAGCAGTGGTAGATCGGGAGCCAGTCTCCAGTCATCCGAGACGCCGAGGTAGCCTTGCAGGCGTCCGCAGGCCCGGTGTCTCCTCTATCTTTATTTATGATCTGTTATCCCTTGTATTCGAGACAGACAGTGTTACTCTCTTTCAAACGGTTGTATGTAGTAAATCTTAGTAGTTCGTGAGTATTGTGACACCAGTCTTGGGTAGAGGCCTTTGTTGAAATTTTCCGCATTTCTATTCAGTTTTCTATAATATTGAGACTTCCGCTTATTATTTAATTTCGTTGCTTTTGTATTATTGCCGATAATTGTTAAAAGGAATTATGTTATTAATGAAAAAGTAATTAAATTTAGCTTGCCTAGCTCTCATTAGTAGGCGCCATCACGACTCCCGAGGGTGGAAAATCCGGGTCATGACAACACTCTACTTGGACTGCATTGATCAACTACAAGTATAGATGGAGCCTCCATGTATACCTCCTCATGTAGGTCTCCATGGAGAAAGGCATTGTTCACATCCAATTGGAATATGTCCCACCCCTTCTTAACAACCACTGTAACTAGGACTCCAACAGTTGTCATTTTTACAACAGGGGAGAAGGTTTCTGTATAGTCAATCCCAGCCTGCTGAGTATAACCTTTTACTACCAACCTAGCTTTGAACCTTTCAATACTTCCATCTGCTTTATGTTTGATCTTGTATACCCACTTACAACCTATTGTTTGCTTTCCAGATGGTAAGGGGACCAAGTCCCAAGTATGGTTGGCATGGAGTACCTCAAATTCCTGTGTCGTGGCTGCTTGCAAAGCAGGATTGAGGGCTGCCTCTTCATATGAATATGGCTCACTATCATGACAAACACTTGGCATCAAGTGCTGACTTTCAGAAAATAGAGCATCAGGAGTAATGTGATGATGATTAGAAAACAGTGTATTTAGTGAAGGGGTGCAGTGAGGTGTAGTGGACAGTTGAGTGGCATTACTAGGTATTGGTAAACATAATCTTTTAAGTAGACAGGAGCCTGATGAGTTCTATTGGATTTCCTTAGAATTGGTGCTTCTGATTGTACATGTGTAGATGAATTCTGTGAATTGTCATCATTTGAAGATGGAGAATCAGAGGTGTCTGAAGAGGATATATCTTTGGTAAGTGTTTCAGAGTGGTGTTCTATGTCTGGAGATGTGACACTATCAGGACTTTGTCCAATGTTCATAGGGGAAACCTGACTGCTGTCCTCAGAATAGTTAGGAAATGAGACTGTTTTAAGAACAGCAGGAAAGGAAGTATTATAGAACTTAAAAGAGAATGTAGAAACATTTTCATGAAAGATTACAGCTCTGGAGATGTGAATTCTCTTGGTGGCCAGGCTTAGTACCTTGTAACCTTTTGTGCCAAAGGGATATCCTACAAAAATATGAGGAGTAGCACTTGGTTCAAATTTATCTCTGTATGTTTTGGGCATAGTGGGGTAGTAGAGACAGCCAAAGCTTCTCAAGTGAGAATAATTGGGTTTCTTTTGGTATAACAACTCAAAGGGACATTTGTCGTTAAGGTAAGTAGTTGGCAGCCTATTAATCAGATAGGTGGCTGTCAGGATACACTCTCCCCAATATTTGGTTGGGAGTTTAGACTGGAATATGAGAGCCCTTGCAGTTTCAAGAAGGTATTTACGTTTTCTCTCTACTACACCATTCGGTTGTGGTGTATAGAGACATGTTTTCTGATGTATGATCCCTTTAGATTGGTAAAATGAAAAGGCTTCATGGCTGGTAAACTCCAAGCCATTATCAGATCTAATGATTTTTATGGATGTATTGAATTGATTTTCAATCATGACCACAAAAGCTTTTAAAGCCTGAAGAGCATTACTTTTGCAGCTCAATAGGTGTGTCCAAGTGGATCTACTAAAGTCATCCACTAGTGTGAGAAAATATTTGTAGTTATCATGGGTGGTCACATGGTAAGGGCCCTATATATCTATGTGTACTAGCTCAAATAATTTGGAGGTGGTGCTGGTTCTTTGAGGAAATGGGAGTCTGGTTTGTCTTGCCATAGGGCATATAGGGCAAATGAATGGTTGTCTTGGTGCAAACTTTGCAGGAATTGAGGATATTTCTCTCATCTTAACAAAAGGAACATGACCAATCCTATTGTGCCACAGAGAATTTACATCATGTTTATCAAACACACATGAGGACTCATTCTTATTACTTGAAATGGAAGTATTTACAGATTGATGAGTGTGATATGAATGAGTATGACGAACAGACTCATGACTATTTATATTGGGAGCAGGAACACAATTGCAGTAGGAAGTTGAAATAGTAGAAGGTAAAGTAGTCTTTTTACCCATCAAACATCTGGAACAGAGATAATACAGACCTTCTTTGATGTTAACAATCACCTAAGGCCTCTTCACTGAAGGGTCCTGCAACAGACAAAGTGTATCACTGAACAATACAATACATCTAAGGTGTACTGCAAGGGAGTGAACAGAAACCAAGTTATACTTGAATGATGGAACATGAAGAACCTTATGCAGGACAATGTTTGAAGAGAGTATCACATCTCCAAATTCAAGAACTTTTACTCTATATCCATTTGGTAGACTTATTAGTAGAGGATAGGGTAATTTAGTGATGTTAGTGAGTGCATATTTGCTAAAGGTCATATGGTTAGATGCTCCTGAGTCTATGATCCAAAGATCGGCCTTCGAAGTACAGACAACAATACCTGCAAAGTTGGCACTCCCAGTGGTGACATTGCCATTGCTGGAAGATCCTCCTGCATGTCCTACTTGAAAGCGCTGCAGCAAGTTCATTATCTGCCCACATTGTTCTTTTGTTAGATTGACATTCTGATTTTCATCTTGCAGTTCCTGATCATCTCCATTCTCATGAATCATGTCAGCTGGAGTCCCATGTACATTTGCCACAGACCCTTTTTCCTCTGTTGAACTTGTAGTTTTGGTTGTTCCCCTGATTATATGGCTGAGCATTGGCACGATTGAAGTTCTGAATGTTGTAAGTATTGCCTTGAGGATATCCATGTAACTTGTAGCACTTCTCCCTTGTATGTCCTGGTCTTTTACAGTAATCACAGAATGGACGACCCTTATTATTGTTGTTGGCTGTGTAATGTGTCTTGAAGTTCTTGGCTCCAAATGGATTTTGATGTTGTGGACTTGCATTTACATGTAGTGAAGTAGAATCTAGACTCAGCTGACTATTAGTCTTGAATTCCCTTTGTTTTTCTTCTTGTATTAACAGAGAGAAGGCCTGTTCATAGAAGTCAGAGGCTTCATCATAAGAATGCTTCCTCGCACTATTGTGTAGACCTTATTTCGTCTCATTAAAAATTGGATAAGTCGTCGATCCTGTTCTGCCTTATGCATAGTTTCCTTTTCTCCAGATGTTCAATTGCAGCTGCACTGAGACTTGATACTCAAGGTATTCAATTCCTCCCACAGTCTTTTCATTCGTGTATAGTATGTAGTAATGTCTAAAGAACCCTGTGCAAGGTCATTAATCTCCTTCTGAATTTGATACAATTTTGCCCCATTTGTTTGGTCATAATGATCCTTTAATTCCCTCCACAGATCGACTGAGTCATTTACATACTCTACACTGTCAGAAATCTCCTTAGCAAGGGAATTGAGGATCCATGAGGTCACCATATTATCACACCTCTCCCATTGGCGGAATTGAGGTGAATCGGGGCTAGGTCTTCTAGATTCCCCATTTGTAAACCCTAATTTGTTCTTAACTGACAATGCTCGCAACACGCTTCTTCTCCATGAGCGATATCCAATTCCGTTGAACGGAACTGGTACTAAGGTCATTCCAGGACTATCAGAAGGATGGATGTAAAGGGGATTACCTATATCGATAACCCATTGGTCATTTCTGCTCGTGCTAGGGCTCGTTTCTTCAGCTTGGTTGATAGCCATGTGAGAGATTCCAATTTGATGAGGTTGAGAAGTATGAAGTCTTCAATCAAGTCTGAGACCTTCAATTTTGAGACGATTTTCAGAATTGGGCGGCAACGACCAAGACCCTAGAGATTGACGAAATTCAAGTGAGATTTGGAATGAGACTTTGGGATGCTGAAAGAATCCGATCTGATACCCAGGCTCTGATACCATAACAAATTACACATGCAAGCTTAGATCTACAGAGTTTTCATGGAGTCTTCTGGAAGGTTCTGAGGGAGGAGAAGAAAGGGAACAAGAGATAGGGATAGAGAGAGAGCAGATAGATTGATGTATTTTTCTGTAAAATGAGAACCTTCAACTGATTTCATTAACTGTACCAGTATATATACATGTTGACTATTTGACTAAGCTAATTTCTAACTAAGCTAGTTAACCACTAACTAAGCTAACTAAGTATAAAATACAATAATGAATGTATGAATAATAACTATACTCAATAACATGCACGTGAGTCGAGTGCCGTTAAAAAACTAACGGTGTTTAGGGTTGTGATTAAAAGTGCATCACTTTGTTAAAGAAAAAGGATTATTAGTGTACCATGTTAAAGATTGTGTATTATTTTAAGTCCAAAGCTAAAGATGATGTATGATTTTGGGCTTTTCCTCGATTAAATAGAGAGAAAAATAATTGCTAGCTACTAGAACAATGGTGGATACGCCAACTCAACTATAATAATACATCAAAAATAGCAAATGGCAGACACAATAGCAGGGTCAGAATTTTTACTAAGGGATTTAAAATATAAAAAAATAAATCCATGGGAAATGATATGCAACATATAATATATTATACATAAAAACAAAATTACTTATTTAGACGATGTAATTTTTCGATGAAGAGATATCAATTGACACCTCTTAAATGCATGCGACCATTGGGTTTTTCAGCTTATTTTAGCTTAAAAGATGGTGAATGGGAAATGGAGGGAAAATGAAATATTTGAGTTCCTTCCTTGAAAAAGGGACATTGTCCCATATTGGAGGAGGGACTTTTGATGTGTATATATACTATTACTCTTCTTCTAGCTCCTAAAGAGTAAAGAAGAAGGCAAGCCTCCCGCCATCGTCGTCGTCGTTCGGCTCGGCTTCGAATTTGGTCAAATGATCGATTGATTGATTAATTTTTTGGACCAAATTTATTTGTTAATAGTAAATATTAATGGGAGTTGCACCTCTTTGTTTTTTAACTCAACATGTTGGCCATAAATAGCAGTCCATTCTCTTAGATTTTTCCAAACGAAATTCTGAATTTCCCTCCTTTCTTCTGCATTATTTTAACTACAAAGAACGCAACAGTAAGTGTGATCTGCTACCGATCATTGTGTTCGCTGAAACACTAGGATTTGAAGTACCGCTACACCAGTGTGTAATTCGTTCAATCCTAGGAGGAAATAATCCACAACCTCGGGTACTAGGAGGGGATTAAGTTCCTTAAGGAAACACTGTGAATTTAGTAGGCTCGGATTAAATTCTGTTTCTTTTAAATTTCTGTTTATATGTTATTTTATCTTCTCTAGAATTATTTTATAAATACAGTTTACTAACAAGCTTAAGGAACTTAATTATTTTCTGTATTTGTGCTATACTCACAGTTCTAGAGACTAAAACATTTGTGGTTTTCTACTCCGGTTTTGGAGATTAAAACCTTCGTGGCGATTTTCTACTCCATTGGAGATTAAAATATACGTGATTTTCTACTCTAGTTTTATTCGATTTCGTCGTTTATTAAACGTTTGGTTGTGTCATTATTTTAGAGAAATGACGAATGGCAACGGAAACCAGATTGTTCCTAAGGTCGCCAATGCATTGACACGCCGAACAACACCAGCATTGGCACCGGCAGAAAAAACTCGAAAAATTTTTCGAGATTAATTTCAAGCGGTGGCAGTAGAAGATGTTCTTCTACTTGACGACTTTAAGTCTACAGAAATTCGTTAAGGAAGATGTTCTTGTTCTGCCCGACGAAACTCCAGACAATGAACGCTTTCTCGTGACTGAGGCGTGGAAGCATTGTGATTTTCTATGCAAGAATTACATTCTTAGCGGACTGGAGGACGATCTGTATAACGTCTACATTAATGTGGAGACGTCAAAAGAACTGTGAATTGCACTTGAAAGGAAATACAAAACTGAAGATGCCGGGTTGAAGAAATTCGTTGCCGCTAAATTTTTGGACTACAAAATGGTAGATAGCAAGTCTGTTAATACCCAAGTACAGGATTTGCAAGTGATTATTCACGATCTTCTTACTGAAGGTATAAGTCGAATTAATACTGATGTTGAAAGTATTAATTACATTATTTTTACTAATAGAACTTTCATTGAAGGTCTTGTCATCAATGAAGCATTCCAAGTTGCAGCGATGATTGAGAAGTTGCCTCCTTTGTGGAAGGACTTCAAAAACTACTTGAAACACAAACATAAGGAGATGTCGCTTGAAGATCTCATTGTTCGGTTGAGAATCGAAAAGGACAACAAAGCTGCTGAAAAGAAAGGCCGTGGAAACTCAACAATAATGGGAGCAAATATTGTTGAGGATGCTCCTTAAAATAATAGAAAAAGGAAGAAGGCTTCTGGACCAAAAAGCAACCCAAATAAGAAGCGGTTCAACGGAAATTGCTACAATTATGGGAAAGCTGGACACAAATGTCACGCCCCGAACCTGGGGGGCGAGACCGGCACCCGGTGCCTCACCTATTCTTGCGTACCAACTTGCGACTAAGGGAATCTGAACATATAATGTCATACTTTGGCCATAGGCCACATTGCAAGGCAATTTATGGAGCAAAATATAAAACTGAATGGAAACCAACACTAACTAAACATCAATATAAAGTTGGGCCGGCAAGGCCGTCATAACTACTACAGCTGACAAACCAACAAAATATATATATACAAGGCCTACAAGCCCAACACACTGCACTAACTTACAGGATATGTCTACAAGCCCCTATTGATGGATGTACCATGATCGGAACAGGGCCCCGACCTACCCATAACCTATATACATATATGCACAAGATGTACATAAAACTTCTAGACCGGGCAACTCCGAAGGACGTGGAGCTTACCGATAAAGCTAAACTCAGCAACACCTACTGAGGAGGTCTACCCGTATGTCTATCTGAACCTGCACGCATGAAATGCAGCATCCCTAAAAAAGGGACATCAGTACGAAAAAATGTACCGAGTATGTAAGGTAATAAAGTATCTGAAAGCTGAAACTGAACTGATAATATAATAACTGAAAGTAACTGGGAGTCAAAGATGATCTGGAGATATACTTACCTGCTGATATTGAATCAACTCTCTCATTATAGTAAGTAAAATAAACGTTTGGCCCTATAAGGCTCGGAACGTATAACTGCTCTACCGTAGTAGGCTCGCTCATAGGCGCTCGACCATACTAGGATCTGTATCTCGGCCATTCTGGGCTCGCTCATAGGCGCTCGGCCACAGTAGGCTTGATATATAACTTACCATCTGATCGGAGGTTGCCCAATAGGGGCCTGCCCACTGATTATAGCTCAATGGTGGTGAAAATACTGTAATACTGTGTATATATAGACCCTCTGCTCTCTTGACTGGAAGAAGACAATATTTAACTGAATATAAAGTCTTGATAAGGGAAAATACTGTAGTTTATGAGACTAGGATAATGTACAAAAGTTCAGGAATACGAACTTCTCTTTATGCCTCGCTATCAAACTCGTGTAATTACGAGATCATGCCAAAATAAAGGAAGTGCTTAGCCTTAACATACCTGGAGTAGGGAAATATCCGTATGATATTCTTGAGAAAGATTGCACCGTACTCCCTTAGAATCGCAAAATCCCGTTGCTATTATAATATGGAGTCTCATATGAATTTCCAAATTCCCTCACCTTCGTTCTTGGCTTTGCCTTTCTGTATAACTCCCTTATCAAATGAATTTTGATATTAATTCAAGATAAGTGTAGGGATGACTAATATGACTTCCCTTTCTACGTGTTTGCAAGAATTGTCTTAGAATATTATCCATGTGTCATCTTAATTGATTGTCTAAAGTCAAGAGTCATTATCGAATCTTCCTCCAGTTGCTGCCACGTGTGGGGGGGGGGGGGGGGCTTTGTCCCCACCTACAATTATCCACAAATCCTTAATTACATGGTTAATCTCCCCCTAAACCAATAATTAACCAATTGCCCACATAATTAATAATTATCTCAAACTATTTAAAATACTACTTATTTTAATATACCTTATACATCATATTATCATGATCATATGGTACTTAGTATGGCACTAGTCCATAAATACGGGGTATTATAGCTTGGACCGTATTTTATTCCAAATTGCCAAACTTCGACGAAACTCATTTTCTTCTATTTGCTTACCTTCTCTCCTTCACGAATTTACTCATCATGTGTTTGAAATAGCATAATGCTTATAATCTCAAAATAACCTCATTCCCGAACTTATGTTGATTAACTTACGATGAAACTTTAACGTAAAAAAATGCGAGATGTAACAACAAATCTGCAGATCGTCGTGCTCTAAGGAAAGACAAGAAGAAGGGTCAAGCAAATATGGTTGAAAAACACAAAGATATTGATGACTTGTGTGTTATGCTTTCAGATTGCAACCTGGTGGGAAGGAGTGGTGGATTGATTCTGGAGCCACTCGCCATGTTTGTGCTGTTAGAGAAACGTTTGCTACATATGCTCCCATTGGACCCGAAGAGAAGCTTTCTATGGGAAATTCTGCAACGGCCAAAATTGAAGGATGTGGCAAGATATTTCTGAGAATGACTTCTAGCAAAGTGGTGACTCTGAACAACGTCCTTCATGTTCCCGAGATTAGGAAGAACTTAGTCTCTGCTGGACTTCTCGTTAAGAACGGGTTTATGTGTATTTTTGTATCTGATAAGGTTGTAATAAGTAAGAATGAGATGCTTGGAATAAAAGGTTACCTCAC